CAAAGAAAAAATCATTCTGAGTGAATTATCCCAGACCCAGAAAGACAAATATGGTATGAATTCACTTATATGTGAATAGAAATTGTTAAGTCAATGATAAGCAAGCTACAATCCATAGAACCACACGTTAGGTATGGAGTAAGGGACGGGGTACAGATAGATCTTGTTACAAAAGGAAAATAGAATAGATAGTTATGGATGCGGGGGGGGGGACTGGAATGGGAGGATCAAGTGAGGAGGGGAGAGGACGACAGGGAGGGAATACAAGGAGAGGCAGCTAAAATTAAGGGCCAGGTGAGAGGTAGTACAGAAACAGTTAAGATTCCTAAAACAAAATTCAAATAATGGGGAGACAGAGTCCCAACAGGCCCATTACCAAATGAAACTTCCAGTTCCGGGAATGAGTACATCTAATTGATACATTGGCCAAAGGGATCCTATGGGAATTCCCATCAACCCAGGCTGTTGCCAAAACTATAGTTCATTCTCCATAAACTGAGAGCAAGGCTCCATTGCTGAAGACAACGCCTATTCAACTTCCTGAACATTGAGAAGTCAAGCTGACGGCTACAGAAAGCCTTCACGCCCTACGTTCTAGTGTCTTTGGTACAGGAAGGTATTTGGCACACTACACCAAGACATAAACACCAAGCCAGCCATAAATCCTTTGATCTACAAAGGCACCCTGCCTGCAAGATATGCTAAGGGCAAAGGTTATGGGAGTAAACTTTATGGGGCTCCACAGGATGGAGGCCATACTTGACCAAGTACCTGAGACTAGGTAGGCCAGGGACCTAGAGTAACACCAAATACTGCTGTTCTAGAAACAGCAATAACAAACAACAGCAAAACCAAAAAACATGGAGGAACAAAATGACTCCTAATGATTTTGCCATACTCATAGATTGGTGCCTTGTTCAGCCATATCAGAAAAGCTTCTTCCTGCAGCAGATAGGAACAAATACAGAGAACCGCATACAGACATTATGTAGAGAGAGAGAGAAAGAGAGACCTTGGAACACTCAGCCCTAAACAGGATACCTCCCTCACCTCGGGACTCAGGAAGCCCAGTGGAAGAGAAGGCTGGAGGAATACAAAGGCCAGAGGGGACGGAGGACACCAAGGAAACAAGGCCCTCTAAATCAGCATGATCAACACTCATATGAACTCACAGAGACTGAGACAACGAGCACAGATCTGCACCAGGTCCTCTGCAGACCCTCTTGTGGCTTCCGGTTTAGAGCTGTTCTGGGAATGAATGTGTGTGAATGGTCTCTGATTCTTGTGCCTTCTCTTGGGCTCTTTTCCTTCTGTTTGTCTTGTCCAACTCCAATGTGTTGTTTTTTGTTTTATTATATTTCCTTTTGGTATATTTGATTAGTATCATCCCTTCGAAGCCTTATTTTATTCTTATTTTTTATTCTCTCATATACTACATCTCTACTGCAGTCCCCCCCTTCTCCTCCCATTCACCACCCCCCCCCAGGTCCACTCCTCTTATTTGTTTTCTAATGAGAGCCAGAAAAGGAGTAGATCCATATGGGAGAAGAGAAAGGAGGAATTGGGAAGAGTAGAGGGAGAGGAAACCATACTCAGGATATATTATGTGAGGAAAAAAAGATCCATTTTCAATGAAAGGAAAAATAATTTAAAAAAAAAAAACCTGCAATACGACCCAGCAATTCCACATCTGGGTGAGCACCCCAAATGCCTGAAGGCAGGACCTGAGATTATTTCTACAGCCATGTTTAAACAGCATGGCATGGCGGTAGATGCCTGTAATCCTAGCACTCAGAAGGCTGGTACGTTCAAAGCCAGCCCCAGCCATTCAGTAAAACCCTGTCTCAAAAACAAAGCAGCTGGCCAGGTGTGGTGAAACAAGGTCAAGCTGTGGAGGCACATGCCTTTAATCCCAGCACTCGGGAGGCAGAGACAGGCAGATCCCTGTGAATTTGAGGTCAGCCTGGTCTACAAAGTGAGTCTAGGACAGCCAGGGCTATTATGCAAAGAAATCCTGTCTCTTAAAAACTGGTAAGTAAGTAAGTAAGTAAATAACAAACTAAGAAAACAAAAAGCAGCGTTAGGGCTGGAGGTAAAGCTCAGTGGACGCTGTGCTCATCGAGCATGCTTGAGGCTCTGGGTTCAATCCCAAGCACACCACAAAACCAGGAATGGTGGCAGGGACCTGCCATCCTGGCACTCAGACGTAGAGGCAGGATGATTAGAAATTATTATTCTCAACTACATATCAAAGTCAAGTCCAGCTTTATCTGCATGAGACCTTGTCTCAAAAAAAAGTGTGTGTGTATGGGGGGCTTGGCTCAGTTCTTAAGAGCACTGGCTGTTCTTCTAGAGGATCTTATAATTCCCAGCACCCACATGGCGGCGCACAACCATCTGTGACTCCGGTCTCAGGGGACCGATAGTTTTTTCTGGCCTGGGCACCCTATTGATACACAGACATACGGGTAAAATACCCACACACATAAAAATAAATTTAAACAAACTTTAAAGCAGCACTTTTCATTCATTTCCTTTTGTCTTTTGCACTGCTAGGCCTCATGCACGCGAAGCAGGGCCTCTGTCCCTGGACTAGCCTGAACAGCATGCACAATAATCAAGACAGGAAGACAACCTAAATATCCACCCAAAGGTGGATGGCAATATTCAGACCATGGAGCAGTATTCACCTGAAAAGGGAAGGAAATGGGTGCTGGACTCGCAGCTCCGTGGGACAGCCCTTGTCTTTTCTGTCAGACAGGATCTTATCCTGTAGACCTCGCTAACCTAGAATGCACTCTGTAGATCAGGCTGGCCTTGAACTCAGAGGTCCTCCTGCCTCTGCCTCCTGGGTGCGGGATTAGAAACCACGTGCCACCGTGCTCTGCTCAGTGCTTGTTGTATGTACCTTTGTGAGTTCCTGGCTCTGATTCGAAGCATGTGCGTACGTGTGTGCACACGTCTGTCTATCTGTAGAAGGGTGTAACGCACTTGACAGAGAGTGCTCGCCTAGCATGCAGGCCTTGGGTTTGACTCCCTGGCACTGCCTGTAAGCTTAGCGCGTGGGAAGGAGGAGAATCAGGAAATCAAGGGCATCCTTAAAGACAGAGTTTGAGACCAGCTTGTGCTACATGAGACCATCTCAAAAAAATTTATGTATGTATGTGCATATGTGTGTGTATTTATGGTATGTATATTATACTCATACACAAAATTAAATAAAACTAAAACAAAACAAAAAAAAACTTGGAAAGTTGCAAGCTGGTGAGATGAGTCAGCAGGGAATGGAGTTTGTGCCAAAGGCCTGGTGAGGGGGTCTGTCGACAGAGCTCATGTAAAGATGGAGAGGAGCAACTCCATAACATCATCCAGCAACCGCCACAGGATGCCCTCGGGGAGGACCAGCTCAGTAATGCCATCCTCCGACCTCCATAGCATGCCCTTGGCACCTCGACCTCACCCTGTCACACACACCCTGGACCGGAATAAACATACAGGAAATTACGGGGACACCTGGCACAACTGGAATATAGGTTGTATGTTAGATACCTAAATCAATGTTAAATCTTATGATACTGATAATTATGCTATCAGTATGTAAGAGAGCCTTCCTTTCAAGGATATACTAAAACATTTTATAATTGAAAGGCATAGTAAGTACAGTTCATTGCCACGTGCCGGGGAATACGCACATACCCATAGGGGAAGGGTGACAGGGGAAGGGTGAAGAGCCAAATGTCAACTAGAGAATCTCAGTGAAGTCCCTTTTCTCTACTATTCTTATAACCTTACTATATGCTTGAAATTATCCGAAAAGAAAGTTTCCAAAAATTAATGCATCCAAGACAAAATGGATGGCTCCCAAGTCTGTTCCACCTACACCCACTCTGGCCATCTAAGAAAAACCACAGCCCTTTCTCCAGCTGCCCCTGAAATCCTAGGGCCTGGGAGGGAGGCTCGGTGGTGATGGCATTTGCTGTCGAGCGTGACCACAGACGAAGGAAGGGGAGAACTGACTCCAGCAAGATGTCCACTGACCTCCACAGCAGCTCCCTTCACAAAAATACTGTTTAAAAAATTTTTTTTAAATCTTGGAGCCAACTTTCCCCCCCTCATTCCAGTGTGATCCATCTCCAAGTCCTATTGGCTGAAGCACTGAACTGTTTCCAGCGCCTCTCCCCTCCTAGCCCAACTTCCTGCTGCCCCTTGGACCCAACCATCTTTCCCCCACACACACACCCCGACTTTCTTTCTGTCTGCTCTCTAAATGTCCTGCACTGAAACCCATCAGTCTTGTCCTTTGTGGCTTCTGGCGTTTACACTGAACTTGGAAAGTTCTAGTTCTGGGGGTGTTTCACCTGCCGCCTCTACTGTTGCCTGGGACAGAGAAAAGCTTCTGTTTAGTTAGTCTCACTCCACAGCTCAGACTGACCTGGAACCCAGGCTGTACCCCATGCTGCCTCAGCTTCTCAAATGCCAAAATTACTAGAGTGAACCCCTAGATCTGGCTCCGTCTCCTCTCAGTAGCTCCTTGCCCTTACTTCATGTCAACCCATGTCCTTGAACGCTTCTGCTCAGAACTGTCCCGTGTCTTAGACAGTGGCATGCCTCTCTCCAGGGCTCCCTGGGCGGATGTATCAGTTGCCGCGTAGCTGGGGCCAGGCAACTCTTTACAAAATGGCTAAAGGCTAGAAAGTTCCCCAGGGAACGTATGATAGCTGCTGTTGGGAGCACTGTGCTGGGACTCTCACTGAAAAAAGACCATACTTGGCTGGTGAAAACTGACCCAGCAGGAGCCTCCGGGACGAAAAAAAAAAAACAAAAAAACGGTCAGAGAGCTGGGAAACCCTGAAGGCACCGCCCTTCTTGCCAGTCTGGACACCTCAGTCTGTTTCCACGCGCCGGCCTGGGCCGACCCGGGACAGGCAGCGACGAGGAGGGCTATTCCCGGAGCGCCCTCCCAGCCTCGCATCCTCCCAGCGGAGGCCTAATAAGGCCGGGCTGGCTGCCGCGGCCCCGCCCCCACTCCACCCCCGCGCATTCTTCTCCCTTGTAAGGCCCGGCCGCCGTCCCCCCAAGCCCGGCTGTGCCCCTGGAACCAACAGCCCGCCGGGAGCTGCTGCCAGCCAGCGCCGCAGCACCGCAGCAGCAGCAGCAGCAGCAGCGACGTCTCCTCTCGGCAGCAGGTGGGAGGCCGCGCAGCGCCCCGGGGCAGCTACCGTAGGTGGTCAGGCCGAGCCTAAGCCGGGCTTCAGAGGGTCGTGGCACGCTTAGTGGTGTGGGCCGGGGCCGCTGCCTTGCTCGGGTCCTACAGGGGCCCGGGGCCCGGAAATGGACATCTGATGGTCCTGTGCCTGGAAAACTGGTCTCTGGGCAAGGAAACAAGTGTCCAGGGTGTCCTTTTGCTAAAGAGACATACACACCACGCCCAGAGCTCCATGCTATGTGACTATAGAGTTGCCAGTGAGCGGGTTGGGGGTGTCCCTGACCCAAGAAACCGTGTGTGTCAGGGGAAAGCGCAGGTTTCCTTTCTCCACAACCCTGCACACCTGCAGGAGAGAGGGGTGGTGACCGCCCTCACACCACCCCACTGCGTGTGCACCAGATTAGGCTGAGTTGGGGAGGTCTTGGGCCTTGCTCCTTCACTGCCCTCCAGCTGCTCTGGCTGCTTCCAAGGACATAAGAGGACTTCTCTGATGAGCTGGCTTTGGAGGGCCTAGCATGCCCCAGCTGTGGGGACCAGTAATGAGTAAAGGGCCCGGCTGGCTTCTGCCTCTGTGTCAGCCGTTAAGGTAGGCAAGAATGGTCCAGTTAGGACCACGCCAATTCCCAGCTGTCTGAGCTTTGGTGTCTAGGACACTTAACCAAGAATCACTCAACCAAGTCTAGAAACTGCCTGGCCACATCTTTGGCCTTTCACGAGCCAAGTCTGCCACCCACTGATCCCAGCCTAGCACAGTGTCCTGGTTTCCACCCTTCTCAGGGGCACTCATCTACCTCTCGAGGAGGAAGCAAGCAGGGATGCAGGTGGCTGCGACAAAAGGTAGGGGAGCCTGGCTGGGCCTGCCCTACTTAAGAGCTCCATCTGCGGACGGGAGGGGCTAGGAATGCCAATGACTCTCTCAGCCTGGGCCAGAAGGCTGAGGCTGGTAGCTCAGAAGAGGGGGGTAGCTTCCAGGGACAGCGATCACACATACACACAAAAAAAAACCCACCAAAGCCTAGTGTGTGCGGTGGGGCCTGCTGGGCCTTACCCAACTGGAAGCTCCAGGCTCTAGGCAGATATAGCCTTGGGACCTGCTGGGGCTGACCGTGACCCCAGACCACCAGGGAACTACAGGAAGGGGCAAAGGAGGTAATGCACAGACCCTGGGTCCAGGGGCGGACATGCTGGGTGGGGCCTTGGCCAGCTGAGGGAAGCCCACACTAAATCCTGAGATGTATTGTCCCCACAGGCTATGACGGGGTCATGTTGAGTCCTTCCCCTGGCCTCAGTTTCCACATCTGTGCAGCGGAGCTCACATAACCTTTCACTAAAGAATCATCTCCTAGCCTGCTGCTGTGGGCTGCCCAGGCGCTGAGGGATGAGGGAGTCTGTGAGTGTAGGTTGTCAGGATAAGGGTGGAGAACAGCACCCCAGAGACTCCAGAAGGAAGGCCTGGAATGGCTGTGGCATGCCAGAGCTCATCAGGGTCATCATCTCTCATCAAGGGGACACTGTGCTGGGCCAGGATCAGTCAGAGGGGGTAGAACACACTGGGGCCTTCAATGCCAGGCTGGGGGGTGGAGGGGGTTGGAGAGAGAGCGGCACCACCCTTTGAGGGTTTTCAGGAGACAGTGAAGGTCTGCTTTTGAATGGGATAGGGGAGACTGGCCCAAGGCCAAAAGGCCAGGTCTCAATGCACCTGTAGTTTCAACTCGAGGGAGCGTCAATGTGCAGGGGTGATGGAGGGCCCAGGATGAAACTGCCATCCACTAGGGACCAGTCAGGGTCCCTGAGGAGACCAGCTGGGGTTCACAAACAGTGCAGAAGATGAAGAAGGCTGGGGGAATACAGGAGGATGGAGAGGGCTGGGGAGGGGAGAAGCTGGGGGGATGGGAAGTGCAGGGAATGGAGAAGGCTGGTGGGGGTGGGGTAGGGGAGGTTATAGGGGGATGGAGAGGGCTGGGGGGAGGGCTAGAGGGAAGGGCTGGGGAGGATGGGGGAGTACAGGGGGCTAAGGAGGGCTGGGGGAAGGTAGTGTCAGTAGAGTGGCACTGGTCACCCCCTCCTGGCAGGGCCCTGCCTCCCTGCCACTGAGATGGGCACAAGCTATCAAGAAATAAACAAAGCCCTTTACTGGTCGGCGCCAAGCCAATCCTTCTTTACCTAGTCGCAGCAGAAGTAGTTCCTTCTCTGCCCCCCACTCCAGGGCTCTCTAGACACTAAATGAACTCATTCCTGCTGCAGAATGGTTCGCTGCCCCCATTCCCAGATGAGGAGAAGTTCAGGTTCACGGCCCACAGGCTGCTCTCAGAAAGAACTGGATGGCTGGAGGCCCAAGCCTGTGGGAGGCCCTGAATGCCAAGCTTAGATCTAAAAGCCACCGGGGGGGGGGGGGGGGGGGGGGGGGGGGACCGGCCCCCCCCCCCCGGCGGGGGGGGGGCGGGGGAGGCAGGAAGATTCCAGGCCCATCATCACCCCACACCCCTCCCTGCAGGGAAACCCCAACACCCAAAGCCAAGATGTCCAGCAAGCGGGCCAAGGCCAAGACCACCAAGAAGCGGCCCCAGAGGGCTACGTCCAATGTCTTCGCCATGTTTGACCAGTCCCAGATCCAGGAGTTTAAGGAGGCCTTCAACATGATTGACCAGAACCGGGATGGCTTCATTGACAAGGAGGACCTGCATGACATGCTGGCCTCTCTGGGTGAGTAGGACAGGTGGACAGGGAGGAGCTGCTTGGCACTTACAGTGAAATGAGACCCTGGCATTGCCCTACAGGTAGGACTGCTCTGACTCTGCCCACTTAATAGAGAGGAAGACTGAGGCATGGAGCACATACAGCACAGGAACCTAGACAGGCTCACTCCCCGGGGGAAAGTCAGTTCTGTGTATTGGCTTGTGTGGTAACTCTCACTGAAAGAAAAGCCCCAGCAGCTATATGCAAGTTTATACTGATGGGGAAACTGAGGCTTAGAAGGGAGGCCAGAGCTCCCCTCTCTAACCCCAATGACACTTCCAAGATCAGGGTCTTAGGGCCAAAAGGGTTGAGGAGTCAAGTCCAAGTTGCCACTGTTCAAATGGATACACTGAGGCCAGTACAGAAGGCCCCAAAGTGCACGTCTTCCGGGGTGCTCGCCACCGACAGCCACTCTTAAATGCCAGACTGGGGCAGATGCCCTGGCACTGGGCTAGCCAACCCCAGTCAGTCCCTGGCACTGCTCCATGCCTACTGGCCTGCCTGTGTAACATGCGCACGGCATGGGTTTGGTGGGAGACCAGCAGTCCAGAACAGGAAAGAGGGTGCCCATCCTTCCGGCTCCAGGCCAGGCCTCCCCTTCCCAAGAAGAGAGCCCAACACTGATCTGGATCCTCTCAGCCTCCGAGAGGGAAAAAACTGTGTCCAGGGGAGGAAGGGCTGGTCCTCATTGGCTAAGAACTCCCCTGGGTGTCTTAAAAAAAGAAGGCAAGGGACTGAGGCTCGGAAGGGACAGGCTCTTAAAGGCGTCCCCCACTAGTCAGGCAACACCCTCTATTTAGCACTTCACATTCCTGACGCTGGATGGTCCTAAATAGCTTCCCGGAAAAACATGTGTGCATGTGTGGTGGGGCCACGGATCAGATGTGGGCTCCGGGTTAAAGAACAGTGTCCTCCCAGGAGAGCACAGCCCACAGGATCAACTAACTGGGGCTCATGGAGGCTCACAGAGACTGAAGCAGCAGCCATGGAGCCTGCGTGGTTCTGCACTAGGTCCTCTGCCAGTGTGTTCCGGCTGTTAGCTTGATGTTCTTGTGGAACTCTTCACAGTGGGAGTAGGGGTGTGGCTGACTCTTTCGCCTGCTCTTGGGACTCTCTTCCTCCTATTGGGCTGCCTGGTCCAGCCTTGATATGAAAGTTTGTGCCTGGTCTTACTGTGTCTTTTTGGCTGTGTTCGGCCGACACTCTGGAAGGCCTTATCCTTTTTGAGGGGGAAATGGAGGAGGAGTGGATCTGGGGGAGAGGAGAGGAGGGGAGAGAACTGGGAGGAGCGCAGGGAGGGCTAGCTGTGGCCAGGATGTATTGTAGGAGAAGAATTAAACAAACAAACAAAGATAATAGTAAGCTCTGCAGACATCACCCTAATTCTCCACGTAGTGCTCTGGGGGTGGCAGCCCCGTGCACAGCTGGGATCTGAACCCAGCAGAGACTGCAGTATCCCAGAACTGTGCCAGTGACTGCCGTGAGGCCTAAGGACACAGGAAACGGAGGCACAGAACCAGGCTTTAAATCCAAGCCTGGGTGACACCCAAGCTCATCATCAAAGTTTCGGATGGGGGCACTTCTGAAATGTTTCTGGAATTTAGGGACACACCGCCTAGGTTTGGTGGCTGACCCCTGCTCCTCACCTGCTGTGTGACCTTGGATAAGCGGCCCTGCCTCTCTGTGCCTCAGTTCCTGGCCCGTGAAAAAAGTGAGCATGCTGCTGGCACAGAGGAGGAGGTAAAACACACAGGAGAGCAGGCGGCGCCCCAGGCGCAGGGAGGGTCTAACCCTGAAATGGTGGAGGAGCCAGGGATTTGTGGCATGCCCTCAGTACCTCAAACACAGGCAGGGACAGTTGCCGGATGTCCAGGAGAAGGCAGGAAATCAGCCTCCAGGCTCCCGCTTCCCAGTCTACAAAGCTGACCATGGGGAGGCCACTGGGGACAGAGAGCTGGGGATGGCAGCCACATGTCTGCCCACCACAGGGAAGAACCCCACAGATGAGTACCTGGAGGGCATGATGAGCGAGGCGCCGGGGCCCATCAACTTCACCATGTTCCTCACTATGTTTGGGGAGAAGCTGAACGGCACAGACCCGGAGGACGTGATCCGCAATGCCTTTGCCTGCTTTGACGAGGAGGCCTCAGGTCAGTGCACAACTGGAGGCCTGGGCTGGGTAGGGGTCACGGGGGCGCTCAGTGCCACAGGGGGAGGGACCAGGCCAGACATCACTGTCCCCAAGTTCCCAGGGCCACACGCCTGAGGCTTCCCACCTCCGACTGCACCTGACAGCCCAGGACGCACTGCTTTAAACCTCCCAGAAATCGAACCCAGTTTCTGTCACAGCCATTCTCCCCTGCCCCTCACAGTGCCACAGTCCCCCAAAACATCGTAAACGGTCCCTCTGGACCCCTCCGAAACTCTCTCATCCATGTCCTTTTCCCTCGAGTGACTGGAGACCTGAGTAGGGTCTTCTAGCCCCTTTCCTGCTCGCTGTGAGGTTTCCAAGGGCTGAGAGGGGGTGGGTGGGCGAGGCCAGAGCCTGCTCTCATTGACCTGCCACATCCCGCCATGCCTCAGGCTTCATCCATGAGGACCACCTTCGGGAGCTGCTCACCACCATGGGCGACAGATTCACAGATGAGGAGGTGGACGAGATGTACCGAGAGGCGCCCATTGATAAGAAGGGCAACTTCAACTATGTAGAGTTCACCCGCATCCTCAAACATGGCGCCAAGGACAAGGACGACTAGGCCTTTCTTAGCTGTCCCAATGTCCAGACCCCACCAGAGTCACCTCCCCAACAGGCGCTCGCATGCACACACACACACACACACACACACACACACACACACACTACCCTCCTCCCGAGGGGTTAGGGTCCCAGCTCCCAGGGCAGGAAATGAGCCAAAAGACCCACAGGGTGACCAGGCATTCCACGCCGGCCCCGGGCACTGAAACGGATCTCTGACCCTGCAAGGAAGGCCTTCATTGGGGAGGTGAGCCAAGGGTGGGACCAGCAGGCACCATGGGGAGGCCCCTGAAGATGGCCGCCCACAACCATGACCTCACATTCCCAGGCTGCCCTGAGGAGGAAAACACCTGTGTCCTGGTATTGGATGCGAATTCCCAGCATCCCACAAATGCACACACACGTTCACCGTGTCCTTTCAGACGGTGACAGTCCACACTGAAGCCTGGCCGGTTGTCAGAGCACACCCGGAATGCACAGAGGGGAGCCGCCTGAGGGGACACAGTCTCTAATACAAGGCTGAGCACTGCCTCTGGTCTGTGTGTCTGTGACTGGGGGGCACCAGGGGACAGTGTCCCATCACACCTCACCGCTTTCCTCCCTTCCCGGTGGCCGCCCTGATGCACCATGCCACTCTGTCCAAGAGAAGGGCTCAGGGGTCCACCAGCCATGTGGTGCTGAAGCCTCAGGGGCCCCCAGGAAGGAGGCTGGCTCCACCCCCAGCTGAGACCAGATTAGCAAATGGAAGGGTAACGGGCCTCTGGGAAGAGAGAACAGAATGGTGAGACCCACGGGTTCACCAAACCTCATACAGCAGATGGGTTTTGATCTTGGCAGAGACAGAGGTCAAGGTCACAGCCCCACAGCTTGATTTCTGGGTCAGTTCACTTGATATTAAGGTGGACTCTAGGAACAATGAAGCAGCAGGGGTCCAGGAGCTCAGGAAGTGACTGGTCACCAGCCCGGCTACCTCCCTTGTCCAGTCCGGTTCCAGGCAGCCACAGGCCCGAAGGCCACAGCCCAGCTCCCCCTCTACCTCAACACACATGTGCACACGCACACATCTCTGTTGTAGCACATACGCAGGTAGGGCTGGGCCCCCACTACACTGGAATGTCACTGAATGTCACTGACAATGCTCCCTACCGTAAAGGGTGGGGACTGCCTAGGCTCACCTGATAAGTCTGTGGGTGGAGGAGGGGGCTTCACGTGTCTCACCGGACCCCAGCAGAGGTCAGAGACAGGTGCTGGATCCAGACTGAGCCCTGAGAGGCAAGCCACAGTTCATAAAGGAGTGTGGATGTCAGCCAGCCTGGAGGCTACTACATCCTCTGTAGCAGGCTGCCGGATGCACACACTCTCAGCTCCAAAGTGAGCCACAGAAGTTCTTGGTCTGGGCTCCGGATGGGTCCAGGCCCCGTAAGGTCCAAACCAGCCCCAACCATTGTGCTGAGTGGCCCCTAACCTGGCCCCTGGACACCAAACCCTCTTGTTAAACCAAAGGCCTGCTTTTAGTCTTCAGTGTCAAGAAGGCAGGGGCCAGGTGTGGTGGCTCACACCTATGGTTTGGCCATGCAAGAGGATCATCAGAGATCACAAGTATTCAGGGGGAGAAAAAGCAGATAGAAAGAAGCCACCTTATACTGCTGCGCTGCAAAAACTTAAAGCCAGAGACAATACTAAACTCTGCCAAAGATGGCCGGGAAAGGACTCACCACTCGCTGGGCGATGGGAAGGGAGACTGGACAGCAGCCAGGCATTTAAGTACAAACTAGCAATCTGACACCCAACACCTGCAGGAGGAAGCCCAGCAGAAGCAGGGACCTGGAAGCATGCCTGGGGAGAAGAGGCCACGCCCATCCCAATACAATTAAATTTAAAAAACAGTGAAGAACCTCGCTTTCCCAGGTGTAAACCTGTAACGTTCTGAGGCGCCCACAAGCAAGATGATTCCACTGTCTGCAGTCGAGGCGTGTCTCCGCTCCCTAGTGGAGCACGGAAGACTCCAACCCCGTTGACCCAGGATTTCAGCCCATCATCCTACAGTCCTGTCTAAAGCAGGGAACACCCTATAATCCAATCGATACAAGAAAGAAAAAGTTCCTTAGAAACCTTTTAAAGGATCAAACTTCGGAAGCCACCAAAAAGGCCTGAGTTATGGCTGAGACATGGAGCATAACTCCTGAGGAACACCTGTGCACTTGGCTGCACTGCCCTGATCCTAAGGCCCTTCCCCGCCCCCGCTTGCTCTCTGGCTAGTTCCCAGCCCCTTCCTCAGCACTTGGGAAATGGAGGCAGATCCAGGTCATCTTCAGCTACACAGGGAGCTGGAGGCCAACCTGAGCTACTTGAGACCATTTCCAAAATCATCATCATCATCATCATCTGGGGTTTACCTACCTTACTCCACAGGTTGAACCAGGCATTGGATCTCCTGCCGATACTGATGAAGAAATGGGAGTCTCCTGAACTGTAATATAGAGAAAACATTACCTTATTAAAACACAAACAAGCAATGTGATGGGCCATGGCTGGGTGGCAGAAAAATCAGGAATTCAAGGTCACCTTTAGCTGGAGTGAGTTCAAACTTAGCCTGGAACACATGAAACACTATCTTTTCTCTTTTTCTTCTTCTATTTTTTTTTTTTCAAGACATGGCTTCTTTGTTTAGCCTTGGCTCACTTCGTAGACCAGGCTGGCCTTGAACTCTCAGAAATCCATCTGCTTTTGCCTCCCCGAGTGCTGGGATTACAGGTGTGTGCCACCGAGACACCATCTTTAAAAAAGAAAACTGAACGCTTTTTTTTTTTTTTTTTTTTTTTTTTTGTCATGGTACCTCCTGGCAGCGAGTGGTTCTGAGACAAAGCTGAGTATGGGTTAACCTTTGTGAGGCCCTGCTTTCATCTGTAAACCCATGGTATCCACGTGTGCCTGCCAATTCACTGTATCAATACTAAGTGAAGCCAGCTGTGGTGGCGCGCGCGTGAGCCTCAGGAGCAGAGGCAGGTGGGTCTCTGAGCTCAAGGTCAGTCCCTAAGGCTAGCTACATAGTGAGAACCCTGTCTCAAAATGCAACAAAAACCAAATGAGCTTGTAAAGTGCTGACCACAGTTTCATAAGAGAAAATGGTTTGCTTTATTCAACTCAGACAATTCTAATAAGAATTCATAAGCCTTAACATGAGCCAGAAGTCCAAGAACTTAAAAAAAAAAAAAAAGCATCAGGGTGAGAGATAAAACATAGAGGATTCAGTGGCAACCAAAGCTGCCTTCAACATAGGAAATGAAGCTGGGCCTGGTGGGGCACACCCGTTATCCCAGCAATGGATGCCAGCCTCTGCTACACAGTGAGAGCCTGTTTGCAGGGACCTTCCTTACTCTGTGTGGGGGAGGGTCTCTATTTGCAGCTGTTAATTCTGCACCAGTAAAGTGCTGGCAGGATTTGGGTATTCTCATTTCTGTAGCCCATCACCGACTACCCACTGGTAACAGCCCTCATTGCTGTTCTGGCGCAGGTCCTACTGCTGGTTGGTTATAATAAAAGAGCCGACAGGCCAATAGCTGGGACAGGAATTAAGAGGGCAGAACTTCTGGGTAGAGAGAAGGGCACAGGGAGAAGAGAGCAGAGGGGGAGATTGGGGAGTGGACAGGAACAGACGCAGAGGGGTGGAGAGCTAGCCACGTGGCGGGTGGCAGGCTGGAATAGTTTCAACAATAGCTGGGGACCACACCAGCAGAGGCCTAAGCTTTCAAGCATATTAGAAATCGCCGTGCATCATTTATACTGCTAGCGGGGCCACAACAGCCTCCGCTCAGAGAGCCTGTCTCACAATACCGTATATACACATTTATATGCGTATACATGCACATAAGAACATGCATGTATGTATGTATGCAGGCATGCATACCATTAAAAGCAAATACCAGTGAACTTTACTGAGGAAAGAAAGTGCCAAGATGTCCTGGTATGCTGTCAGGTGCTGTGAGAAAACACCAACCAAAACAAACCTGGGAGGAAAGGAGCCTTTGACTTAGAGGCTGCAGTCCATCACAGAGGGAAGCCGAGGCAGGAACTGAAGCAGAGGTCGAGGAACGCTGCTTCCTGGCCTGCTTCCGTGCTCACATACAGCTTCCTTCTCTTACACAACCAGGATCACCTGTCCACACTGGGCCACATCAATCAAGAATCAAGAGAATACCACACAGACTTGCCCTCAGCCTAACTGATAAAACCAATTCCTCAGGGGAGGTGTATTCTTCCCAGGTCCGGCAAGGTGGCGGCAAGAACAGCCATCACAGAGGGCCCGCACGGTGCACGCCTTCAATCCCAGCACTTGGGAAGCAGAGCTCTGAGTTCCAGGCCACCTGGGCTACAAAGTGAGACTCTCCTCTCAAAAAAACAAAGGACTTGCATCAAAAGTAAATATATCAGGGGCTGGAGAGATGGCTCAGTGGTTAAGAGCACTGGTTGTTCCTCCAGAAGGACCTGAGTTCAATTCCTAGCACACAACTGTCTGTGACTCCAGTTCCTGGGAGGTCTGACGCCCTCTTCTGAGGACACCAGGCACGCATGTGGTGGATAGACAGACGTGCAGACAAACCGCCAAAACACACTGAAAACACATAAAGTAATACAAAGCAAACATATCAGGAGGCTGGAGAGATGGCTCGGTGGTTAAAAGAACGCACAGCTGTTGAAGGGGACCAGAACTCAATCCCCGTCACCCACACTCCCTGGGCCACTCACACTCACCTGTAACCCAGCACCAGGAGCAGCCCACGCCTCCGCCCTCTGAAAGCACTGGCCGTGTGTGTACAGACCCAACACATGCCCATAACTTAAAAAGGTAAATCCTTTTCAAAAGGAACCGCCTCAACAAGCCTGGCACAGAACACCCTAAGTAGCAACCATACCGGGGTTGCTGGAGACGATTCAGTGGAGGCAGTTAAGCAGCCTGTGGAGGGGCACGCCTTTAATTCCAGCACTTGGGAGGCAGAGGCATGTGGATCTCTGAATTCGAGGTCAGCCTGGTCTACAAAGCGTGTTCAGAACAGCCAAGGATACACAGAGAAACCCTGTCTGGAGAAACAAAACTGAAAGTTCAAAGCGAGCCAGAGCGACCTGAGACCCTGCCTCAAAAACACCGTTACCACAGGTGACCACTAGGGGTCACCGCAAGGACACTGCATAAACTGGCGACCTCGTTCACAGAATTCCCAGGTGGATAGGCGCTCCCAAGTACCAGCTTTCCCTTCAGGACTTATCCAATTCAGGACTTATCCAATTCTAGAAGGCCAAGATGTTGTTTTAAAGCCCCAGTGGCCACAGGCCAAAGGAGCCCTCAAGAGCCCAATAACCATAGAGGGGTTTGGGAGAAGACAGCATCTTCAGAGGTTGGGGAAGGAAGTGTGGCTTCCTTGTGCCTGACCCAACTTCCCCACTTGGCCCGGATGCTTGAGAATGGGGTCTGAGGCTCCGCTTGGTGCTCCTCCTAACCAAGACACCCTCCGTTCAGCAAGGGCTCCTAGCAT